GAATCGAACTGGAGAAACCATGAATTAGCAAAAGGAATATGCCAGAAAGAAAGAGAAAGAAAACACCACGAACCTAAAGATGAAAACGAAGAAACTACAAATGAATTCTGACAGATCTCTTGTCTGCATCATTTACAAGCCCTCCCTTCCTAACCCTGACCAGACTTTTTGTGATGAAGTAAGTTAGGTGTTTGGAGTGTCCCTACCAATTTACTTGGAAATGCTAAGTTTGAAATAAAATCCTTATAGGGTTACTTCAGTTATTGAAAAAGTCAAAAATAGGTAAGCGCTAATAATATATAGAATAAAAAAAATAAATAAAAAAAAAATAAAGTAGGCAGCAACCTTATAGAGGGTAACCCTCTTACCCTCTAGATAATATACAGTAAAGCAGGAAGAAAGGTAGCGCCAAAATAAAACGAAAAATTAAGTAAAATAAATAAATAAATAAAATAAAATGAGTCCCAATATATGTTGGAGGGTAGAAGTGTCTGTTCCACAATTTCCACTGGTAAAGTGTTTCCTCTGTCTGTGATACTTCAGAGCGTCTCGTGATATGGAAAACACAAAGGGAAAGGACCAATCGTGCAGAATGTATAAAATGTGTAGATATAAAATAAGAAGATGAATTGCACTCACATTATCATGAGCTATGACCAGCTCAGGGGTAATGGGTTTTCAGCAGAATAATCCCTGCTTGTAGGATATAACGAATACTTGTCCTCTTGGAGTATGACGGTGTCCAACTCTCAGGAAAGGGAAAAATAGGAACAGCCAATAGTGCTCTCTGATAATATAATGTGGTATAAAAATAAAAAGAATAGGAAATATACTCACAAATAGAGTGCAGATATCACTGCACTTGGAATGTCGCGTGGGCGGTATAATCCCCACCTCAGGATATATATAAAATGCCAGGAAATAGGTAGTAAAAAAAGGTTATGTGTAAAAATAATAAAATAATAATATAAATGGCACAAGAATATAGCCAAACTTAATTTATTATTTAAAATACACAATAAAAACCATTAACGCGTTTCACCACTAGGGTTTTATCAAAATGGTATAACATGAGAACCTGGCAAGAATAAAATATATATAGGGACACTAGTACTTTAAAAATTGCGCCAAAAACAGCATCAAATAGCTTTAACCAATCAGAATCAAACATAATGTTCATGGATAACAAAACTTTGAGAAGCACATAAAACAGAGATTAAAATGAGTAAGAATGAAAATATGTGTATCACAATCATATTATGCATTGTGCATATGAAAAACGAAGCTTTTAATTGGAATTAAATATTGTTGTAGCACGTCACGTGACCCGCGCGGCACTATGGGAAATGTAGTGCGCGGGTCACGTGATCGTACACAGACATTCATATTAGCCGTCCCAGCAATGGGCGGTGTAAACGTCTTGGAGGCGGGTGCGTGTGACGTCACGTGACCCGCGGCATACACAAGCAGTGTAGTGCACGGGTCACGTGATCGGCGCTTAGGCGCCTGGGAAATGTAGTTAAATGGGAAAACGAGCAGAATATGGAAAATACACTGCATATATTTAGAATAACGATCATATTAGAACACAATCATAATGTACATAAGACAGGCAAGTGAATAAAAGAAAAACCACTGATAAAAGACATTCAAAAGGATATCAGCATAAATAATCCTCATATAGTAATGAGTTAATATAATAGCAGCATATTTATAAGCACATATATAAGTAAAAAATATATATAAAAATTATAAAATATATATCTCAAGGAATAACAAGAAATACATACATTTTGTGATAACATGTATATATATATTATAATTAAAATATCTATAGTGTGGTCAGATTGGGGGTATCCTAGACTATAATGCCGTAGGTAACAACTATGAATAGGATAGCCCCAAAATGACCACAATAAGGAAGATAAAGATAAAGTGAATAAAATCATAAAAAGTTAAATAAATCAAAATCCACATTTAAGCCTTGGGGGGCTAACGTCTGTAGATTAAATACCCACTCCATCTCATTTTTACCTAAAATATTTTTTATATTGCCACCTCTCCATGGGACTTTGCATTTTTTTATTCCGATACATTTAAGAAATTTAGGATCCCGATTGTGTTTTTCAAAGTGTTTTGATACAGAGTGGTTGGCATAACCATTTTTTATATTTCGGCAGTGTTCTGCTAATCTTGTTTTAAGGCATCTGGTAGTCATACCCACATATTGGAGGCCACAAGGGCACTCCAATAGGTAGATAACATTGGTAGTGTGACATCCAATAAAATCTTTTATAATATAGTTTTTGTTAGTTACATTCGATTTAAAACTGGTAACTTTGGAATGGATAGCGGGATTAGTACTTTTACACACAATACAACGTTTGCATCTATAAAAACCCGTCATTCCATTAAGAAAAGTAGGTTGTGTATTTTTAACTTCTCTGGTATAGTTATTGGTTAAGATAGATCTAAAATTGGGTGCACCTCTAAAAACAATTTTTGGCTGAGTCGGTAATGTTTCTTTAAGGAGATCATCTTGTCTTAGGAGGTGCCAGTGTTTTTTAATCGTTTTTTTGATAAAACCACTTTTGTTATTATAGTTAAAAATTATAGGAAGGGTAGGGGCTTCTGAGATATTTCTATCTTTATAAGTTAAAAGGTTTTCTCTGGGTTTGTTCCTTACTGATTCTATAATGTTATCTAATTGTGTGGATGGGTAGTTTTTTTCAATAAACTGATTTTTTAAAAACAATGATTGTTCATTAAAGTCATCAATGTGAGAGCAATTTCGACGCATACGTAGAAATTGGCTTTTGGGGGCGCTCTCAAGCCATGGCTTGTAGTGACAGCTAGTCAGATCAATTGCTGTATTGGTGCATACTTTTTTTAAAAATGTTTTTGTATGCACTACTCCTTCTTTGATAAAAATATTTAAGTCTAGAAAATTAATTGTATCTCTACTGTACTCGCATGTTAAAACAATTCCTCTATTATTTGAGTTAAGATGTGAAATAAAAGCATTAAGTGAATCTTCCGAACCTTTCCATATAAAAAACAAATCATCAATATATCTAAAATAGGAGACCAGGTTTTGCTCCCATGTATGCCGCCCCCAAATGGCACTGGATTCCCAGTCGGCCATAAAGAGGTTGGCATAGCTGGGGGCAAACCTGGTCCCCATAGCTGTTCCTCTCTTTTGGAGGTAAAAAGAATTAAAAAAACAAAAATAGTTATTATTTAAAATTATATTGATGCCTTCCACAATAAAATCAATCTGAGTTTCTGGGACTCTTTTTTCATTAGATAACATAGTTCTGACTGCATTACAACCAAGTTGATGTGGAATAATAGTGTATAAAGAGGTGACATCGCATGTCACAAGTATAAAATCTTGTTCCCAATAAAATCCATTAAAAAAATTTAATAGTGACATTGAGTCCTTTAGATAAGATTTCATGAGTTTGACTGCAGGTTGGAGTAGGGTGTCAATGTATTGAGATAAATTACATAAAGGGGAATTAATTCCAGACACTATAGGTCTGCCGGGAGGGTGTTGAGCATCCTTATGTATTTTCGGCAGAAAATAAATTACCGGAATTTGGGGATTCTTAATAAATATATAGTCAAATTCTTTTTTCTTCAAAATATTTTCTTCTAATCCCTTTTGTAAGAAGGTATTTAATTTTTGTTGTATGTCTGGTGTTGGGTCATTGGATAATTTTTCGTATACATCAGTGTCATTCAGCTGTCTGTAAGCTTCTTTAATATACATAGCACTTGATTGGATAACAAGACCCCCACCTTTATCTGCAGGTTTAATAACAATGTCTTTATCTTCTTGGAGTTGTTTCATTGCTGTTTTTTCTAATCTATTTAAATTTTGGGTGTCATATTTGCTATACTTGATCTTATTAAAATCTTTTAGTACGGATTTTTCAAACATCACAAGAGGGGCTGATTTAAAATTATAAGGATAAAAAGTAGATTGAGGTTTTAAGTCTGTATTAATGTATGTAGGTGTATCTGTAGGGATTTGAGAGGAAGGAAGGGGGGGATTAGTGTTAGCGTCATGTGAATTATAAAATCTTTTTAAAGTAGCTTTGCGTATAAATTTATTAACATCTAAAAATGCCTCAAATGGTTTAAAAGAGTTGGTCGGAGCATATTTTAGCCCTTTACTTAAAACTGAAATTTGTGCTGCACTTAAAACTTTTCGTGATAAATTAAAAATGCCGATGTCTGATTCTTTGGGGGCAGTTATTGTCTTTCTAGTCTCTCTTTTTTGTTGTCTTCTACCACTTCGTTTGCCTCTGGGCTTAGAGGTCTTTTTTTGGTCCTTATTGGGTACGGTGTGTTTGTGAAAGTGTGTGGATGTGTCTGAATCTCTAAAAAATGATCATCACTATCTATTTCTGAATCAATGGATAGTAGTTGGTACCTGTTTGTATGTGAGATAGGAGTCGCTGAGTGATTTTTGTAGTAGTGACTGGGTTTGTGAGTTTTAGGTGAGTGATTTTGGAT